GTTGTAAGTCATTCTATTCATCTGTCACTTGTCTTTCATTCTCAATCAAAGCCATATCAACATGCTCACATCTATCTACGGTCATGATAAACTCCACCATTTTTTAGGCTCGCAGCAAAGTTAGAAGCTCTTGGTCCGTACCAAGGCGAATTGTTAGATTACTCTCACCCACAAACCAAAAGTTTGCCTCCTGATAACTAGCCCAACTAAAGTGCTTGAACACATCATTCTCCATATCAATGATGGAGTACTCTTCTGCATCCACCCACCAGTCCAAGCATCTACCCTTTTTGTACACAGATTGACCATCCTCAACAGTTGAGTAGGAAGAAACATCAATCACTACTCGACATGCATTGTTTGGATCGATCCTAAAATAGTAGCAGTGCAAAAAAAATTAGCATTGCTTTCAGATGCCCTTTCTCATCGGTGACCATCATCATACCACGTGAAATCACACACACAAATCGAACTTCGTAACTAATTTCAGTTGTACTACGAACCATGAAGTAGATAACTAGGGTTTCATTCTTACCCGTCGGGGATCTCAGATCGATGCATTGTTCCACCGCATGCTCACTGGAGGAGGAGGAGTCACGGCCGGCGCAACACGCAGTCGAGGAGGAGGAGGTGGTGGTGGACGGCGCAGGTGGCGCGGCCTCCGCGTGACGAGCGGCCCACGGCGGACGGCGTGGCCTCCACACGGGGGAGCGGCCTGCGCGCGAAGAGGAAGCTGCGGCGGCCGGCGTAGGAGGCCCTCGGAGCTCCCAGGTGGCGCAGCCTCCGCGACGACAATGACCATGACGGGACCCGGCGTGGCGGCGTGACTCTCATGTGAGTACCGATCCAGCGGACGGACGGCGCTGGCCTCCACATGGGGAGCGACTGCTTGAGGAGAGGAGGAGCCGCCATGGCAGGTAAGAGCGCCGCGAATGAGGCGTGAGGCGGCGCTTGTGTAGAACTAAAGTGGCTTGCTGCCCTCACTTCTTGTGCAAGCGTGACTCCCGTATGAAGACAGGGATGAGGATAAGGCAAGGGCAAAAATGTCACTTAACTTTTGGAGTCTAGGTCAAATTAACGCTGCTGAGTGTAAAACCTGACAGAGTGCTATTTTTAGTTTACGGTGACAACTTTCAGTGCTATTTTACGGGGTCAAACTCTTTCAGTGGTATTTTACGGAGGTCGTAACCTTTCGATGCTACAGAACCAATTTTCCCTTTATAAAAACATTGTACAAGTATACTTTTATGAAACTAAATTTCAAAACAACAAATATCCGAGGTCAAAACATATAAAAAGTAATAATATACAACCAAAGTTTGGAATAATTGACTTATGACACCCTGAAAACATCAGTTATTTAGAACTAGAGGGACTAATAATTTAATTATGTATCACATCCCTTGGTGCACATATATTTGCCATCTCTTCAGATCTAGCAATTAATACGCAATATTCTTGATTAGTAAGCTAGGTGGCTAGCTAGCATATATAGGCAAATCGTACTTTAGTGTCAAGGATAACTGTATAGCTAGCTAGCTAAGCATCACACATTATACAAACTGAATAATTAGATTATCTCTTGCCAGTAGGTAGGGAGTATAATAAAATAAACTAGTGACGCTAATGAGTGGGGTACATCACCTATCCTGTCCATACGCCAATGCCCTGTTCACACTTAACTAAATCTGCCCGGGTTCTGACGTTGCTCCGAATACGTGGATCAATATTCCACTCAAAATGCCCAAAGGTGCTTGAAATTAAAAAATATACTACTGGTTTCAGTCACTTGAAAATTAGGAAAACTGCCCATGAAGTTTTCCCATAAAACTTGTGTTGTGTGTGAAGCCCAGTTAAATACTACGATCGATGGATCTGTCCCTGTACTACATCGATCCTTGCATTGGTGTCATTTCGATCTGCAGCTGATTAAGGCACGCGTGAACCGAAGTGCCTTGCGATGAGACCAATATATGGAGTGATCCAGCTTGCCAGCTTGGGGAGGCGTGTGAGTACATGTGAAGCACGCACTTCATTTTTGATTAGGTTGCCGGGTTGGTTTTAATTAGGAAGAAGAAGACAGCGGAGGTCACCTTTGCTTCCACTGACAGGCATCTTCTCCCCTCGATTTCAGCTTCTCGAACTGAGCTCCCGATCCTTAAAAATCGTTGACTTGGGGGGCCGGGAGCAGGAGTCAAAACCTGGCCCTTGTTTAGATGCTAAAAAATTTGGCAAAATGTATTGTAGCGTTTGGTAATTATTGTCCAATCATAGTCTAATTAAGGTTTAAAAGATTCGTCTCGTGGATTTCATCTAAATTGTGTAATTAGTTTTATTTTTTAATTATATTTAATACTTCATGCATGCATCCAAAGATTCGATGTAACGGAAAATCTTGAAAAATTTTGCAAAATTTTGGGAACTAAACTGGCTCCTGGACCTCAAGTCCGACTGGATCGAATAGACTGGGCTTTAGAAGGCCTTTGGGGTTTCTGGCTCAAGAATGATAATCCGTGGGCCCTAAGTTCAAAGCCCATGGACATATATAAGCAACAGTTCCATTTTACCTCTGTATTGTCATGGTCAGATTTTCCTTTTTAACTTAAAAAACTAGGCATCTTCCCCCCAAAAAAAAACTAGGCATCTTACCCCTCAACAACTTTCAAAAACCATTTACATTATATCCTTTTTCAGGTTAGAAGTCGTTTGAGATGGGTTTACCATTTTTTTTTAAAACAGTAAATACATGATAAAATTTTTAAAACATGAAAAATGTCTCTAAGGTTTCTAAAATTTATGGAAAGAATCTTAGAAATATATTGGGACACAAAAAATCTAAGTAAAATATTTAGAGTTTGTGAAACATATCTCTAAAAGTTTCCTAAATATATATTTAGACAAAGGTAAATGGGAAAATATCTAGAAAATTTTGACAATTTTCTAAAACATTATAATTGATGTCTAAACATGTTTTAAAAAACTTTTCACAATAGAAATATGTGATGTAAATATCAAGTATTCTACATTTATTTAATGATGAATGCATTGATGCTATTCATTCATGTTGGTTGTAAATTTCAACACATTCTTATTTATCAATTAGAATGGCCTAGTAATTTTCTAGAATTTTTAGATGTTTTTCCTGTCTTCCTAAAGCTAAATCTAATTTTTGGAAGCTTTTAGAGATATATTTCAAGCTATAACTATTTTATTTGGGTTTGTTGTGTCCCAATATACATGTAGGGCTTTTATTGGAACTTTTATAAGGTTAGAGGCAATTTTATGGTATTTATCATATTTTTCTACTAACAAAGGATGGACCATCTTAAAACCCACTTTTAACATGAGTAAGTAGGCAATTTAAATGGATTTTGAGAGCTAATAGGATAAGACATCTGATTTTGATGTTTATAAGAAGAAAAAATATAATACAAAAATGGATATAAAATGACTTTTTTCCTGGACATAGGTCCTGTTTGGATGAGCTAGGGTTAGTTGTTAGTTGGACAAAAAAATAAATTAAATTAGCCAAGGTTGGCTAAAAAATAGTTGAAGACTTTTCTAAAAAATTGTCTTACCTATTAGCTCTCCTATTTAGATGCAGGTACCATAGATAGAGTATAAACAGCCAGCCACATATAAGTGCCCAGTGTGCACTTCCTTGGGAGCCCACAGCCCAGTGTGCGCAGAAGCCACCGTAGCAAAAGGAAAAAGTCCATTTTGCCTATTGCATAAATTAGCTTTTCATCACTGAACTCTAAAAATAAAAATAACTCCTCCCTCATCTTCCAAAACCGGCCACTTGACCCCCATGGCTGTTTCACTGGGTGGTTTTCATTTTTTCTTTTATGTTTATTTCGACTGAATTTTGAAAAATCATAGTAAATTATAGAAAAATCATAAAATGAAAAATCCAAGTGTGTTGGACTCCGCATGATTAGATCTACACAGTGAACATATGATATGGTATGTTTTAGTATAAAGTTTTTACTGTAACTTTAGATCTATGTTTTTCTATAATTAATTCATAGTTGTAGTTTCTCTAGTGTAACTATAGTGAAATTTTTACGATGGGCTAATCATTGCATGTTTGAGTTGTAATAAAATTTTCATGCTCATTAGATCATGTATCATTAGAGTTCCTAGACATAGGTCCTGTTTGGATGAGCTAGGGCTAGTTGTTAGTAGGACAAAAAAACAGATTAAATTAGCTAAGGTTAGCTAAAAAAATAATTGAAGACTTGTCTAAAAATTGCCCAACATATTCCGCGCACTGCCTTCCGGCCCGTTTGGCCCAGCACTTGACAGTCGTCCGTCGCCTGAAGTCGTCATCAACGTTAACGTTTGGCCCAACGCGGCTGAACCACTCAGGGCGTCCCCAACGGTTGTCCTGCCTGCTAGTAGGAGCAGCTGGCCAATCACGAAGAAAGAGAAATCCAGAATCCATAGCGCTGGCGAGGTAGAAACGAGAATTTAATACGGCAGCATTTTCGTTTTTATTTAGTAATTAGTGTTTAATTATGGACTAATTAGACTTAAAATGTTCGTATCGTGATTTCCAACCGTAATTAGTTTTTTTTCGTCTACATTTAATACTCTTTGCACGTATCGCAAGATTCGATATGATGGCTACTGTGACACTTTTTGGAAAACTTTTTGAAAGCTAAACACAGCCTAAGCTCGTACCTGGTTCATCTTGCTGAAACCTTAGCTCAAAAACACTGTTCTGCTAAATTGTTTTTGAAAAAAAAATATTTTTTTTGGCTGGAAAAAAAGAAGCCGCCGAAGGGAAGCAAGTATCTGACAAAGGTACCACTATCTGACTTCTTAGTTTTTTAATTGTTTTAGGCTCCACCTCAGCAGTGTTTTGGAAAGCCTGTTGAGGACGCCTGACACCAAGACACCAACGACACTCCACTCAAAAAAAAACTACAGTGGGAACCGCAGTGGGGCCACCAGGGACCGCGCACTACCTAACCTTCCTGCGACGCGGAACCGCAATGAAACCGCTTGAGACACACCCGCTCACCGCCGGCGGGTCCGCGATGCCGGAGTTCCGCGACTGGGGCGGTCTGCCCGAGCTGCCCCTCTCGGAGTTGCTGCGCCGCCTCCTCCCCTGCCTCCGCTCGATCTACGCCTTCGCGGCCACCTGCCAGCCCTGGCGCCGCCTGCTCCGCGCCTCCGCCGCCGATCTCCTCAGCCCCGGCCTGCCCCCGCTCCTCCTCGATCCCAGATCCCGCAGCGTCGTCCCCTTCTCCCAGGCCGTCCTCGCGCAGCCGCTCGCGTACCGCGCCGACCTCACCGCCGCGGAGGGCGCGAACCTTCTGTCTGCCTCTCGCGGCCACCATCTCCTCCGCCACCGAGGCGCATCCGATTGGGAAACTCGCATCATCATCATCGACGCTCTCACCGGCGCCGAACGCCGCGAGGTCACGCTCCCGTCCCCTCTCTTCGCGTACCATTACGCCGCCCTCACGGCGTCCCACCTCCTCGTCTTCCACTCCAAGCACGCCTTCTTCTCCCTCCCCTTCCCCGACCCAAACCCCAACCCCAACGCCAGCGCCTCCGGTCCCAGGTGGACCAAGCACAGCCTCCCCCGTTCCGCCTCCTACGTCACGGGCGTCCTCGAATTCCGCGGCCGCGTCCTCGGTTTGACCGATCGCGCGCAGCTGCTGGAGTTCCGCCTCTGCGGCAGCCCCCAGAGCCAGACCGTCCAAATGCTGCCCGCCGCCGGCCTCCCGGACGCCACCGCCTTCAATCAGTGGTGCTTTGGGCCCCGTCTGGCCGCCGCCGGGGACCGGCTGCTGCTGGTGCTCTTCATGCTGGAGCCGAAATCAGGCTCCATCGTGCAGACGAGGTTGGTGAACAAGGTGGCCGTGTACGGGCTTGACTTGGCGCGCATGAGGTGGGAGGAAATGGAGAGCATCGGGGCGTACAGCTTGTTCGTGGACTGCACTGGGAAGACCGCTGTTGCGTGCCGAGATGTGGGGAGCTGTGGCGTGGAGGAGAACCGAATTTATGTTGCGTTTCCTGGGCGCCGCTGGCGATCATTCCCTCCAGGGTGGGAGGTGCCTCCCGGGGACGCTGTGTTTGGCGTCAGAGCAATGGGAAGAGCGATGGGTACATGTACATGGCCATCGCAGATATTGGTTTACCCACGGCTCTTCTTTTGATTTATCTGAGTGGCCAGAACAGTACTAGTACATGATGCTTATATGAAATGTAGAACAACTGATCTGTATTCAGCTGCTGTATTGATTGCTGAAGATGTTTGCTTTTACAGTTTTCGTGTGTGATACTGAAACGATGAATAATATTGAGTTGTTTTCTTTTTTGCTACTGTCCAACGCTTCTAATGGTTTTCCATTAGTTGTTTATCTCAACATATTATGTTCTGTACCACCTCTGTCTTGGAGAGAATAACTCAATAAGCTTTAACCATGATCTTTCATGACTACTTAGTGAGTACTGATCCACTGTTACTTCATTGTCGCAATTCTGGATCCACATAATTGGATGGGATGGCCTGAACATCAATGCTCCTCGTTGCACCACTTATTATGAATTTACTCGCTATTTGTCCATAAAAAGAGAAGGTTAACCAACAATTTATTACATTTCTATTGTATGAATTTATTATGACTGGTCTTGCACGAATGTTGGCTCCTGGCCAGAGAAATAACCAAGAGCGAGAGATCCGTACCAAATGCAATTTTCCAACAAAAAAAAACATAAAATAGCTACTGGAGAAAGGAATTTTTTTTTACTACCGGAGAAAGGATTTTCAGAGACGGACAGTAGACACATCAATAGTAGGATGACAGCCTTTGTTAATGGTCTTAATCCAACTTTATACGAGAAAATTATGGATTTTTTTTTACTACATCTATTTATAGAGCTAGACTTCTCAATATATCCGTCTTTGTTGATCTATTTCTGGAGGCGGACTCTTAGAATTCCTTCCTTTGAAAACGGTTAACAGAGGTGGGATTTTACCTAAAGGCCACCTGAAAATTTACAGAAATGGTCTCTAGATGCGCCCATCATGAGAGGTTGTCTCTTAAATCATTATTGTACTAGTAGTGCCACTTCGTCGCGTTTTGAGCTGAGCCTCCGTCGCTTTGGCCTTTCGGTACCAACCGGGGGTGGCATGCCGGAGTACTTGCCCATGGCGAGGTCGGCACACTCGGACACTCGGACACTCGGTAGGGTGTTGGCAATGACCTTCCGTGCCGCCCGCATGCAGTACTCTAGGTAGACAACGCCGTGGTCGTGTCTCAAAGGTCGCGCCTCTCCCTCCCGTTTCATGCCGTGGCCCGTGGCACGGTGGCAGCACCGACGCACCGTAACGCACCAATGCTGCCTCCGCCACTCATCAGTCACCTCCCTACTTGGAATCCTGAGAAAGACGCCTGAAGGCTGAAGCCTGAAGGAAGCGAAGAACATGCAACAACACGGTTTCGAGCGGAACAGTTCTTTCAACTTCCAAGCTCGAGGCCTGCGAGTGTTTGCCCGGGACATGAGGGCCAAATCTTTGACAAAGTTCAAATTTCGCCATAACTAAAGATGCAATTTCGTTTTCTTTCATGTTATTCCGCATTTAGGGCCTGTTCGTTTGTCTGAATTCTGGAGGAATCTGGATGGTTTGGAGGAATTTGTGAGAGAAAAACACGGTTCCGGATGAAAAAATAAACGGATCAATCCGGGTTTAAGGGCACGCGAACGGGGCCTTAATGAAGAGAGTTTATTTCTTACTATTAGATAGTGCCATGTCAGTGTTTTTAGGGCAAGGCAAGTGCATATGTGCACTCTCCAATATAGCATAACTTTCTTTGAAACAATGCATTGGAGCTATTTCAACTACTCCGTACTAACTAAATACTGTACCTTCTTGCTTATTATGTGACACACTTAAAACACATCCGCTTTGAATGGCCTGACATTTAGTTTCAACCTCTCCTCTCGGCTAGCAAAATGGTTCCAAAAATCACCCCGTGCTGGTTTATTTCTTCTGCATTTTTTTCCAATAATAATTGGCAACCAAGCCACATCAGTAGTGTTACAAGCAGCAGCAGCAGCAGCAGCAGATGTGAATCGGTCGTGTTGATTCTTTGCACAAGTACTAGTCGATTTGTTTATTCGTACATCTCACTGGTGCGACGATCCTACTGGTGTACCAGAAGATCCTACAGTTTCAATCAATCGGCAATTCAGCATACACATGACCGTGGTACCAGAAGAGCTCCACGGCCCCACTTTACATCAACCAGCCCAATCGACAACCTACAATCCTACATGGTTGTAACACCATGAGATGAGATACTCCCAAACAGCCCACTCGTCCAGCAACACTTTCAAATTCCTTGAATCTCCAGAAGAGACTTAAGCAACACACTGGAAGATGCAACTGTACAGATTAGTACATACAGACGAAACTACATATTTATCCGGATGTAGATGTTTATATTACAGAGGCACATAAGTTATTGGACTGGTGCAACAGGGAACAGGAGGGGAAGCTGCCAACAGGTTTGCAGTTTTGCGCAGCCAGAAAAGATCGGCACATCTAGAAATGCAGCTGCTTGCAATGCGACGCCACAGCCTCCGAGGGGCAGTAGGGGCACTTGAAGGGCCTCGAGCTGTTTTTCGACAGCTTCATGATGGACTGCTTGGAGACAACATGTCCACAAGGCATCCGCATTGGGGGGTTCTCGTCACTGGACTGCTCCCTCAGCACCGGGCACACAAAGACAGAGTGATACTGAAATTCTGGCCCGATGTCTATGGGGACAGGGAGCTGCTTCATAACTTGCCATTCCTGCTTCTTCGCAGCCATGACTTGTGTCAGCTTCAGCAGAGTCGGTAGTCCTTGAAAACCAGCTGATACTGCAACACTCAGTGGGCTCTCCCTAGACTGGCCCAGAAGGCTACAGAATTGATAGGTGAGCTCCTCAGCTAACTTCTCCCAATGCGCGGATGACATTAACTCAGAATATGGGGATTGATCCAACCGGCCAACCCATAGAAGGCAAGCCATTAGCTTCTGGAATTCTTCCTTGTGCACGGCTGCAAAGGGGACCAAGTGAGTCCTAGCATATAAAAGAGCGTCATCTTTGGCCTCATCCCTACTTCCTTTGGACAGTATTTCAACAAACTGAAGCTGATAAAGCTTGAACTCCAGCATAGACCCATTCTGCAACAGCTGGTCATGGTTTTTGGCAGCCCAACTGAGGGCAGGCTCAAGGTTTCTCGCTTTCATGGCTTCAAGGATAGCATACATCTCCTGAAATGGTAGCTTCAAGGAAGCTCCACCTAATTCCCCACAATCATGGATGAATATATCACCAAGATCAAAGAGGCCTTGGCGGTAGAAATGATTCGCTATGATATTGTTTACTGTATGAACCTCAAAATCCACATTTCTGTATGCCTTAGATATATCTGGATTGAAAGACTTCTCAAGGACCTTGAGATATTTGCTCAGGGCACCATTGAGCTCCTTTTGGCTGCCTTCAAGTTGGTTTAAAGGTGCCATTTCATTCAGCTTAGCTTTCAGTTCTGCGAGGATAGATGGGTGGTCAACATTTCCAGTAGAATCTGTATTCATCATCTGCAGCTTCACAATAGCCTGCTCAACTTCATTCACTATTTGATCAACAGCTTCCAGAGCTTTAGCAGAAGATAATGAACGTTTCTCAGCAACTCGATCAAATCCCTCTCTGAGGCTGTCGATCTCCATTAGCAGCTATCTGGATATGACCAAAAACATGTAACCAATTATTTCATTAAGAAAATCACTATCAAGAACATTAGAAAGATGCATCACATAAAATCAAACTGCTAATAGATCACTATACTTCAGAAATAAAAAATCATAGCATAGGTTCAACATGGAGACCAGCCCAATGCATGACTGACCTCGAGTCTATCTATACATATGTCAGCAGATAGGCTAGCATACAAGTATACGGTCTGCATTTTAAACAGCAGACAAGTTTGCAAATCACATTAACGCAGGAACTAATATGTTTTCATGAAGAATATTTAAGAGCTACTAGAAAGGTAACAAAGCAATGAATGGCCAATGGTCTTAAGGTTGGCAAGGCAAGAAATGGTAACAAATGCCTACGTGACACCATACACATTGTAAGAAACAGCAAAACAGAAGCAGGGAGAGAAGAAGAAGAAAAATGAAAAGGAGAAAAGTGAAATGGCTTGCTTGGGACTGAAGGGCTTTGTTGCTGTAGTAGTAAAAAGAAGAGGAGGAAGGAAAAGAGATGGGGCTGGCCCAGACAATACTTTTAGCAATAATTTTGTGCGTGCATGAATGTGTCCAGGTTCAGCAAGTGTCTAGGTTATTTGCTATTATTGCTACCTAGATTTCAGCTTATAAATAATAATGGGTAGATCATAAAGGCATTGAATGCGTTAATTAGGATATTATTATACCATACTTGAATGTAACATTCAGCTCTGTATAAATAGAGGAAAAAACAGAAAAGCTGCAGGCATTCCACCAGCAACAATCCAATGTCCGTTTGTGTCTTGTGTGAGTGTCCTGGGCATAATCTTGGAGGGCTGTAGCTGTCAAATACACCCCTTAAACTACAGTAGATATGATGTAGGCCCTGACCTTCAAGCAGCGCTTTTGCCTCAATGCGATTCAGCGCCACCACACCACCACTCCCCTCCTCACCCCGGCAGTCCGACCATCACTCATTTTCCTGCTGCTCCCCCCACCCCCCACCCCACTGCCACCGACAGGCTCACACTTCTTTCTTCTACACTCTTCACTGCTTTGGCAAACTATCAGGAACACACCCAGGCTTGTAGGAGAGCCTTATCGCCTAGGGAACAACACCCACGAGGGGATAAACCTTGCAGTGGTTAGATGAAACTATGCATTGTGTTCTGGTAAGTAACTCGGATTTACACCAACTCCCATGTCCCTCTAGAATTTCCTTCACGTTTTTAGCACCAGTATACTCGGAAGTATGCACTGGCCTCTTCTCATCATTCAGGCATTCAAGTATGGCAGGAACAATGATAAAAAACAATTCATCATCATCTTCTTCTTCCATCTGTATGAATTTCCAAATTTTCTCCTTCCTAGAGCCCATTATCTAAAAGTTGCAAATAGAAACAAGCTGAGATATTGGCCTACTTACGTATTTATAAATTTAAAAATTAAGCTAGCTGACATAACTAGCTACAATCTGCAACACAAACTGAACTGCAGAGGGGTCAAGTTAGACTCCATCTGCAACCAGCAAGAACTAAACTTAACTAGCGCAAGAAGAGACAAGTTAGTTGTTGTTTCGAAAACTATTGTTTCAAGTTGCTGCTGTTTCTGAAAATTGCTGTTTCAGAAACACCAAACAGACAAGAACGCATAGTCTTAATTTTTCAACAACAACAACAACAACAACAAACAAGTGGCGAGCCAATGTAAAAATAGTCTTAATTTTTGCAGAAATAAAAAAAATGCAGAAATCAATAAACAAAGAAATCAGCACAGAGAAATCAGTGACCAAGCCCTTTAAATAACAACTCAAGTTATATAATAGCACATAAATGATCAGGTTGGCTAGTTAGTTTACACATGGTGCTTTTAGTTCTCCAACAGCAACCAAAATAACGTGTCTAGGAAATATATACACTGAGTGAAGTACTGCTGTTTCAGAAACACCAAACAGACAAGAGCACGACTTGCTAAAGAAAATATTAATTGGCATGCATAGTCTTAGTTTTTGCAGAAATCAGCAGCCACTACTAGTAATGAACACAGAGCACATCAATCAGAACTGAATTACACTACTAGTATTCTAGTAATGAACACAGAACACATCAATCTGACCTTGGCCCTCTCCTTGGTGCACAACGAATATCACTTGGTGAGCCTCACCTTCCTTTGGTGGATCAGGAACACGAAATTAATCTGTAAAAGTGCACAGGAAAGCGTCACATTCAGCTAGCTTGTACACAAACAAGATCCACTGCTTTTAATCATGATCAATATGTGGCAACATAACAAATATGTGGCAAAAGTTCTTAATCAGTCAATTAATGTAATTTCTGGGACCCACCATCTCCTGCTGCCAAAGCTTGCAAATTTCTCCAGAAAAAGCTTACTAACGCCTGACTAAGGTGTTTTTTTAAAAAAAAAAGAACCGTAGTGACCAAGCCTTTTTTGTGCTCTCCTACAGTCCTACATGTGTACATGTATTGGACATATGTTGTGAGTCAGACTGGAAGGACCTTAGCCAGCAATCACGCAATGCAGTAGCAAATCAGCACTTGGAGCGACTCAATAAAACCTACTGGATCAGACTGGGGTTCCTAATGATAGTGCAAAAAGGAATATTTTGTTCAAGATAGACGCTTGCTTGTGGACTGTTTAATATATACTAGCCTGCAATAATTGATCGATAGCTAGGCACACATAAATTAGTTTGTTCAAGATAGTTAGCAGAGGAAGACGGCAGGTATGTAACGATAGAAAATGGTACTGCTGGAAATAATAGATGAACACTATTCAGAGGGGACAGTACCACAAGCAATTTGCTCTTTCCAGTGAAGAAAGCTTCAATCTTGCGGCTTCTATCTTGTCAATTTGGCTACCATGGTTGCTCAAGTGATGGTTGCTCAAGTGAGTGCAAAATCTCTAAGCTCTATATATCATGGAAGAAGCCCTAGTGAAGCACTAGTAATTGCAAGAACCACCGCCATTCATCCATGCATATATCACAGATCTATCTAACAACAAAAATAGAATAGATGAGGACGCGTCCAGCCTGTGACTAGCATACCACACACGGGTCAACTGGCCGAGGATGTAGCGGCGGCGGCGCGACGAGGGTCGCAACTGATGGCTTGGAGACGTAGGGAACAGCGACCGGTGGCGTTCAAACCCTAACCCCCATGGCAGTGCTCTGCGAGGAAGACGAATTAGAGATCTGGAGACGGAGGGAGCGGAGATGGGAGGCGCACGAGTAGGAGAGAGGTGCCGCTCAAACCCTAGCCACCATGGCTTACCATGCGAGGTGAGAGGGCGAGCAGGCGACGCCGACGTCGCACGCGAGAGAGAGGAGCGACAGGACGAGGAGGAGAGAGAAATTTTGTATTTAGCCCCTCAGTTCCTTCCAATTCGCAAGCCCTTCCGACCCCGTGCACGCCTCTTTCAATCTGAAGGGATTTATTTCCTCTCCTCTTTTATTTCCAAGTATCTCTACCCACTCCTCAGGGCATGGAAAAAGACTGAAATACCCTTTCCTCCTGTGAGGGAAACTGGACGCACGCCCAACACTCCGTTGGCGCGGCCCTGCCATCGGTTCGCTCGCCGGCACCTCCCTGGCCGGCGGCGGGGAGGTCGCCCAAGCGTCGGTCGCAGGTGTCGCCCGGAGGACCTGGCCGGAGTCGGAGGGCGCCGGGTACGATGCTGGACTCCTAGCTGCGGGCCGGCGGGGAGGTCATCGCTTTGCCGGGCGGGGTCGCGTGAGCATGGTGCAGACAGGTGGCTTAGGTGGTGCGGCGGCGGACTCCATCACGCGGAGTTTCTTTGGAGGCGGGACTCCATGGAGGTGGTGCCGAGTCCTTGCCGCCGTAGCTTTCCTTTGCGACGCGCCATCGTCCACGAGGACCGCGCGTGGAACCGCGGCTTTCGGCGGTTCTACCCATGCCCTCGTTGTGGTCTCGCCCACGCGACTACTTCATCGGCGCCATGCTCGGCCGCATCAACGTGGATGTCGAGCTTTTCCGTCGACTAAAGAGTACGCCAAAGCATAGGTAAGATAACTTAGAAAGGATGATTCGTTCGTGCAAACATTACAAATTTAGTTCATGCAATAATCGGCAATGGTTTAGTTCATGCAACATTACAAGATGTCTCTACTACAAAAGCTAACAAGCATCATTATAATTTTCATGCTCATGCAAATGCAATAAGAGTAGCTTCAAATTTCTACCTGCAAAAAGCTAACAAGCATCATTCATGTAGCAATGATGGATCACAAGGCAAACAAGATGGCAACAAGATCTTCTCTTTCTAGTGTTTCTTTTTTCATGTGAGGTATCTCAAACTTGTTGCAACCTTTTACTTTCATTGCTTCCAAGAAGACACCTTGTAGTGTTAGAAACATCCGGTTTCAAGGTGCGGCGAGTACTCCATGAATGACTACAAAACAATTGTGCAACAAATGAATGAATGAGTTTGTGAACAATTTGAATTGCTTCCATGAATTGCAAATTACCTCTTTTGGAACTAGAGCCTCTATAGTTTTTGCATCATTCTTATATTGAATTGCTTGTATTGCTCGAAAAAAAAGAAACCCAAGTCAAGAATGTTGAAATGGAGAGTTTGGTGGTTGACAAATTAGGCGAATATCAAATCCTCCTAGCTTAGCGGCCGCACAAAATTCCGGATCATCCATTTTCAAATGAGAGGGTGCATTGTCTTGTTGGATGAAGATTGGTTTACCCACATCTTCTCTTGGCCATTTGGATCTAATGGCCGGCAACACTAGGTTGATCATGAAATCCCTAATCACATCTCTAGTGATCGATGTAATGGGCTTCATAACCATGTCTCCACGAACACGGCCGGTCCTCTCATTACTTCTCATAGCTGGTTCAAAATGAACAAGTGGGAAACATCCAATCCTACCATCAAAAGTACAAACCCCATCCCTAAACCTTGGTCGAGCGCAAGCACACAAGAACATGAGCCTAGGGATGTAGTTC